ATGGATAGCCGATAGATTAGGGAGGAGGGAGAGATGGCGAGAGCGAGGAGCGATAGACAGGCGAGAGCGCGCGACGCGGCGCGCGCGCGAGCGAGAGAGAGAGAGAGAGAGAGAGAGAGAGAGAGAGAGAGAGCGAGGAGAGAGACAGGAGCGAGAGAGAGAGAGTGAGAAAGAGAGAGACGATGAGAGAGCAGAGAGAGAGGAGAGATAAAGAGAGAGAGAGAGAAAGAGAAAGAGAGAGAGAGAGAGAGAGAGAGAGAGAGAGAGACTGCGCGATGGATATATTACACCGTTTTACCCGCCAACAGCACGCCGTTAGCGAAGTTAATTTAATCGAGCCGTGATTCGCGCTCAGCGTGAGCAATTTCGCAGGCGAGGCCGCAATTCATTAACATTCCTGAATTAAAATTTACGAAACGCATTATACGAGATGTAATGATTTTCCTTCTTGCAAAAATAAACATCGCGATCTCCGTGCGCGCCACGATTTTAAACGATTCAATGTTACGATAAAACGTTCTACGATTGAATTCCTGCAATTGCGAGAAAAATCTCGTTATGAATCACCCGGCGCTGCGTTGTTCCAGCCTGTTCTGCTAGCATCTATGACAAATACGACTACGCATATACGCTCTCCTTGACATACTTGTCATGCGAAGATTCTTCTTATGACAAATATTTGTTGTATGGTGTTGTGCGCATCATAGGAGTTGTATGAGCGCTATTATGAACCCAAGCAGTGAATTTCAGCCTTAAAGCGGAACGAAGTGACTCGCCAATATATGATAAAGAAGAATCTTCTATGAAAAATAGTGTCATAGTAGGAGAGCGTATATGCGTATGTCGTATTTGTCATAGATGCAAGCAGAACAGGTTCTCTCTCTCTTCTTCTTCTCTTCTCTCTCTCCTCCTCTCTCTCTCTTCTCTCTCTCTCTCTCTCTCTCTCTCTCTCTCTCTCTCGCTCTCACTCACTCACGCACACACACATGTACGTTGCAGACTGTCTGACTGTGATAAGTGGAAAGATGGAGGGCTTCATCAATTCGTCGATGATCGGCGCCAAGTTCTTGGACCACGCTAAGAAGAACAGCTCGCTACCTCTCGACTGCGCCTGGGACATACGCGTGCAGTCGGGCTACAACGTAAGCACTTCATCCTCGCATGCATCTGCCTACCCAATTAAAAAGGGATCAGCGCTCAGTCTGTCCACCCCGTAAGATTCCTAATGGCCGCTCCGGTAAGCCGCGTAACGGGGCCTTTCGCCGCCTGATCGTGAGCGAAGAAATGCGACGGTATAACGACGATAATTGGACGGGATTTGATAACGGTGCGTTTGCAACGACGGCTGTTCGTTTAGAACTACGTAGTGTAGTGTGTCAGCATATTTATCGGAGCGTGAATGGAAGTCGTTTTGTTCGCGATGCTCTTTCGCTTCGCGCGAGCACGCACACACGCGCACACTCATGCACGCACACGCAGATGCACACGCACGCAGGCATGCATAGACACACGGATAACACACGCACGCACACACACCACGCACACGCACGCACACGCACGGACGCACGCATAACGCAAACACGCGCGTGACCGCGCTCTTACTTTAGCCTGCAGAAACGTCATATATACAATCATAGACACCCCACGCATATATATATACATATATATATATATATATATATATATATATATATATATATAAACGCATGCATACAGAGAGATTGGAATATACTCCGAGTCGAGACGCTCTGATCCTAATCTACCTTCGCGTAGACGATATAATCTGCCAACATCAATTTCAAATTCACTCGAGAGGTAAGCTCTCCCCGAACTACCAAATGTTGATTCCCCCCCCCAACCACCCGTAAGACGAAAAGGAGGAAGAACTGACAAATATCAATTCCCCGCCCCTCCCCATCCCACGTAAGAAGAAGAGGAGGAGGAGGAAGGACTGCCAAATGTTGATTCCCCCACCCACCGTAAGAAGAAGAAGAAGAAGGAAATTTGTCCCAGGTTTTGTACCGATAACGCGTTAGAGGAATCCGTAGCAGCGACTCACCCCTGCAGTTTCGCCGCGGTGTTGAATCACAACATGTTCTGCTTGTCAACTAATGTCATCTATGAGAAATACGACATACGCATATACGCTCTCCTATGACACTATTTGTCATAGGAAGTTTCTTCCTATGACAAATATTGGCGAGTCAGCTTCGTTCCGCTTTACAGCTGAAATTCACTGCTTGCATTCATAATAGCGCTCTTAAACCCCTATGATGCGCATACAACAATATTTGTTATAGGAAGAATCTTCTTATGACAAATAGTGTCATAGGAGAGCGTAAATGCGTATGTCGTATTTGTCATAGATGCTAGCAGAACAGGCTGTGAATCTAGCGATTTGATTTTCAAAAAGCAGCTTTCCATTACAGCGTCCCCGGATTACATCTCAAAACGATGAATTTCTGCGCCCGAGCGTATATAGTAACGATATTCAGTATCTGGAATCAAATTTGAGTTTTGCTCGGCCTCGGCGTTTTTTCCCGCCTCTAAATTGCTTCATCTTCCTCGTCGAAGCGACGTATTAACATCGTGTGGTCGGCGGCGTGGGAAACACGCACACGCGGAGTGTGAGCTGCAGCTTGTGTGTGTGTGTGTGTGTGTGTGTGTGTGTGTGTGTGTGTGTGTGTGTGTAAGAGAGAGATTGACTGTAATGTGTGTAATGACAGTCGCGGGAAGTCAATTACATCCAGTTTCATATGCACCGGATTATATAAATACCGCGGCGGGTTCCACTGTAGCGCCGTCTGCAGGCGTGAGTGTGTTCGTGTGTGCGTGTAATTCGGTGTGTGTGTGTGTGTGTTCGCACGCACGCACGCACGCACGCACGCACGCACGCACGCACACAGTGAACACGCACACGCAGTTTACACGTGATCACATGCATGCGAGAAACGCGCGCGTATTTATTTCAAAACGAGTTGATGAAAGCGGAAGCAGTTGCTCTGCGAAAATGCATATATGAAGAGACCCAGCTGCACGCTAACGCTCGATTAGATTTCATCAAATAAGCAACGATTCGCGGATCAATATCATTACCGAGAGACGATGTTATGAGAGACACCCCCCTCCTCCCTTCCCGCGACGCCACACCTCTTCGCTATTTCTAGAAGCAACTCGTCTAAATAATTAAAATCAACAAATTCCGGCGTTAAAAGTTGGATGTAGACGTTAGCTAGTGCAGCTGCGCGTGACTGTGTTTGATGTCAGTCGTTTGAATTTTTACATGCAGCGTCGGTCGTTCTCTCTTCTTTCCTCAATGGCATTTCATACAATTAACTTTTGCGGTGGTTGCTGCGTGTGCCTACGTGCGCGCGTGCACGTGCGTGTATGTGTGCGCGTACGCGTGCGTGTACGTATATGATACTAATGGTAGCGTTATGTGTAGATGAAGTAGTGCAAATATAGATGTAGTAGCGTGATGGAGATGAAACTAAGTAATTGCATATAGCAGTCCTGCTGCATACTAACCCTTTACAACTGCTTTTAACACCAGTTCTAACGCCCGTACGTTTTCTCTTGGATGCCTTATTTTTTAATTCATTTGTGAATGTTAACGATGAATATTTTCAATAGATAGAATTTACAATATCGATAGGCGATTTCGTCGGGAGCCGGCACAAGCGAACCGTAACTAATAAGGTTATACATATTGATCAGCCTAATATAGAGCCGTAGCATCTTGTCCGGTGAAATTACGAACCGAGCGCAATATATGGCCAAGTGTTTCGTAAATGGTATTATGCTTCCAGCACTGTTGTAGCTGCGATCTAATCGTCGCATGCGCGCTCCCTCGCCCAATCTCGGAGATAATCGAAATAATTCACGATCCAATTGAATGAAGAAGCTAAAAAGATAGGAAGGAGGAACATGCGTGCAGATGCGCACGCCCACACACACGCACACACACACACACACACACACACACACACACACACACACGGACAGATATACACACACGCACACAAACACGCGCGCATAGACGCACGCACACACGCACTCTCGCACGCACGAACACGCGCGCGCGCACACGGCTTTCACGAGCATCCTACTTAAATGCATATATATGTGTACGGCGAGTTTAAGCGCTTCGCGTCCAACTGTTATGGGACATAAATAATGTACGAACAGTCGGGTTTGCAGGAGTAACAATCCGCGATGAGAAATTGGGGAACAAGTAAATTATTTATATTCGGCCGGCAAATCGCTAGATAGCATGCAAAATATAATTTGCTTGTATATTCTCAGCATATACGCACCGTGCCTTATTACGAGTTATATTATCGTAACTAATTTTGAGAACCCAATTTTAACTTCAAGATAGTTGAGTGCTACTGCAATGTGTGTAACGCGATGACACGCGTTGACACGCGATGTCTATCCTCGAATATATTTTGGAACTATATGTAATTATAAGCTGGTAATATTTATGTTACACATTGAATATCCACCTAATTTTTAGCAACGTCTGGATACTATGCTAACACGGATATATATTTTGAAGAGTGCAAACTTATTTTCATGATTTTTTTGTATACAATCGTCGTTGTATCCATGATATCCACTGATGTATCTAATAGAGAGAGGAAAGACGGCGGACAGATAGGAGATGTCACACGCACACGCGCACACGGACGCACCCACACACATGCGCGCGCACGGACGCACGCACACACATACGCACATGCACACAAGCACAGAGACGCAGACATATGGATAGATGTTAGAGATGTTTTTATGTAATCAAACAGTCACACCTCTACGCATGTGCAAATAGAATGGCAAATAGACAGATAGAATAGTTCATCCTTACACTGACAGAGAGATGGCGGAATAGAGATGAGGCGATATACGTAGAAAGAGCTAGAGAAAGAGAGAAAGAGAGAGAGCGAGAGAGAGAGAGAGAGAGAGAGAGAGAGAGCATACAAGCGAGAGCGTAAAGAGAGACGGTGCGAAAGTAAGGGAGTGCGTGTGGGAATGAGGGAGTGAGAGTGAGAGAGACCGCGAGGAAGAGGGGAGAGTAATATATATAGGAATGAATTAGTGACTGATTGACTGGTTGAATGAATGAATGAACGAACGTACAAACGAACGAACGAACAAACGAACGAACGAACGAACGAACGAAAGAACGAACGAACGAACGAACCCAAGAATGAATGAATGCATGAATGAATAAATAAATGAATGAATGAATGAATGAATAAATAAATGAATGAATGAATGAATGAATAAATAAATGAATGAATGAATGAATGAATGAATGAATGAATGAATGAATGAATGAATGAATGAATGAATGAATGAATGAATGAATAAACAAATAAATTGATGGACAGATTAACGGACGAGCGGATGAACGGACGAACTTGATACGGTTGACACATATCTAAAGCTAGACCGTAGCTCCGGTACGTGAATTAGCTCTGCTGACTGAGCAACGTAAGGGCATGCGGTGTTACGTGAACACCCGTTCACACGCATATTAAATATTACCCTGTCTCATAATACCTAGACTCGCTCAATATCGCAGATATAAGCGTTCTAAAAGTGCCAACCACCGTTAGAAATCATATGTGCGATGGACAAGCGAGAGGACGGCGGCGACAACGATGGTGATAGCTATTAATATGACGTCGCGACCCATTAACAGTGCCATTATGCGTCGTATAGCTCAGCTAATAAGGCCAGAAATTGCGATATATTGTCTCATAACCTGTATTGGAATGCGGCCGACGATGCCCCCACTCGCTTCGCATGTAAAATATATTCGAGCTATATTATAGATGCCGCATCATTAGTGGTGCTCGGGGGCGATGCGGGGCAACTTGCCTTAACACTGGCCATCAATCATCGATCTACGCGTCCGCTGTGTCCGTGCTTCCCTCTCTTCCATATCTAATACCCATCGTGCAACCTATATGCCCATGCACCTCCCACATACACACATATACACACGCACGCACACAGACACGCGTGCGCGCCGCTGCTGCTGCTGCTGCTCCATGATGACGTGTCGGTTAATGGTATCACGTATTAGCGCGGACGCGCGAGCGATTCTCGACTAAAGGGGAAGATGGTAATA